ACTCAATAAAATGTTATGAACACCTATTTGAGTGCATGAAGAATGAATGAAAACCTTTATTAAATTGTAATGTCTTATGTTGAAACGGGTTCACATTAAAAGGTTTCCAAATTGCTACACCGATTTCAAGTAAAAGCTTTATAGAAGATTATACAATTTATCCATAAAGTATAATGGAATCATCAAGAAATTCTCGCTATACTTACGAGCTTTAAAAGCATTCGATGCTCTAAATCAATTTTACGACTGAATGAAAATGTTGAATAACTTGTTTTGGTATTAACAAATAAAAGAAGTTGGCCCGATGAAAGAAATGATTTACGACCCTCCGATGACTTTATTTTCGTTTATTTATGGGTAAGCATTTCGTGTGCTGGCGCCGAAAAACAGTTTTCAAGTTAAATTTTATCACTATCAGGAAATAAAAAGATTGTGTTGCAAGTTTAATATTTAAGTGATCTCTCTTCTTTTTTTTCCCTACCTATGCTGATAGCCTTGAGAGGCTATTTCATCTTCACCCTAACGTTTGTAGGTGAGCTCACGGGGCTCAAACCGGAGAGTTGCTAACACTGACCCTAGCGAGAGCAGTGCTTCGCAGAATCTACCACCGGATCGGAAACGCGACCCACTGAGAAGATCCGGCGAGAAACTCAGTGGGCTGTGGGTTAGATCTCTCTTCTTAGTCGCATACTTCATTGCTGAAGATCGTGTCCTTGAAAGGCCTTCGTGGCTCTTTGTACAATCATCTTCTATTTCGTTTGGTTTTCGGCGTCCCTCAAGACGATTGTAAGAGAGAGCTTGGTAACCGGCTTCCCTTCTACCTTTTCCACTACAACCAATTTTTCAAAGTTGTCTGTCTGGTTTAAGAAAGATAAAATAAGATACAATTGTCGATATTCACTTTCAATTTATTTCATTGCTCAATTATGATTATGAAGCCCAATAATTATGTATATTGTATATTTTCCGTAGCTGTAATTAGCTTCCTTTATTTCAAATTACACAAAAATTAACCAAGTGTAACTTTTCAACGTCTAAGGTTGTTCATTATATTTCTTTAAGGGTTTTTCTCTTCCACTAGTTGGATTTTACTACCGAACAGAAATTGTGCGTGAAAAATAAGGTCTAGGTCAACGTTATCAGGTCACTGCGTTTCATATACTGCAAAAGCGAGGGTTACATTTAATGGGGCATAAATTTGTGTACTGGCGTGAGTTTTTTGGGAATAAATAATTTGTAAGTTTTCACTTGAGGTGATCCGACAGAGAACCGAAGATATCGACATAGCACAGCGAATTAGTAAGCTGAAGTGGCAATGGGCTGGCCATATTAGCCGGATAATTGATAACCGTTGGGGTAAACGCGTTCTTGAGTGCAGAGCGCAAATCGGCAAGCGCAGTGCAGGATGCCCTTGGGCTCGGTGGAGTGATGATTTGTGCAGGGTAGTTGGCAGGAGCTGGATGAGAGAATCCGAGGATCGTGCTCAGTTGCGAGCAATTGAAGAAACCTATGTCCAGCAGTGGACATTATGTTGATGATGATGATGATGAAACTCTCACTTTGACATAGTAAAATACGAAAAACGAATAAAATTTGATATTTTTATCTTTTGGTATTTGAAAATCTAAATATTAGTGTAAATGTTTAAGATAGTAAAATGTAAATCATAGAACCACAGATGGATGAAGTAAAGGGAACACCAAAAGAAAAAAAACAGAAAAGTGCTTCCATATGCAACGTTGCACTGGATACTAAATACTACTAAAGATATAATCCAAAGAGATAACTGCCCTGCCTATTTCTGCCGTAAAATAAGACAGCCGCTACACAATGCAATCATTTATGAACATATACGAATATATGTTACTTGATGTTCCAGCGATCTCATACTGGGATTATGTGATTGTAAGTTTTTAGAGTAGTTTTTTCTACATGATTGTTTATAGATTATCGTATATTTTAATACAGCTTAGAAACTGAAGACATTGGAATATACAGTGAAAGAAAATTAATAAAATTCTCTTTCATTTTTAGTTTGTTTCAAAAATGCGATGGTTACTTTTTTGGTCATTTAAATACTTTTTTTTTAATATTTTTATTTCGATGACAACATATTGCGGATTACAGCATATCTTTTATAGATTTCGAAATATTTTCATTTTGATGACGCTTATAAAGATAGTGTTGTAATAACACATATAATTGATAAGTTAAGTGCAAAGCAACTTTTTAGCTAAACATATTATATTATTAATCTATATCCTTGTGGTTTTTAATCGAAGTGGAGTTGAGCAGAGCAGCGTGCCGGCTGACTGGCAAGACGAGCGCACGCTCATTAAAGCACTGAGTCGGACATCCGGCCATAGTGCTGATTGATGATACCAATTCACCACTTGTCAAAACCGTAACTCGACAACACTATCTATTCGTTCTCACTCTGGTCGACTCTCTTTTATATCGTTAAGGAACTTGGAGTGACATGTCCAATTTGATTTGTCATTATTTACATCGCTTTCGCACAAGGCAAGCAAATAAGTAGGTATTATTGAACTTAATAAAAATAAATTATCAATTTCCAACAGACAACACTTACGCACTGTCAGTTCACATAATGGTGCTTCGGTGATGTATTAAACGACCCACTTCACCTCTGTACTGTTTTAATCCTTAATTAAATTGATTACACGGGGTCTACTAAGTTCTTAATGAAACCGACGCTGCGTTACCGTATGTAATAAGTTCTTTTCCCCTTTAATTGTAGCACGGTATTCATTTTCACGTATTTAATTTAATTAACACTTTGTAAACACCTGCTCGAACTTTATCTAATCTAACTTTTCACATTTGACACAAACAGAAGGATTTGAATATGAGTATGACAGAAATTACGAGAGAGTAAAATTAAGTACGTTATATTTAGATGATCTTGTTTATCACGGAAATTATCCTCTAACAATAACACTGAGCGGGTCAGGCTGTATTGCTCAAAATTTTTAGGTGGAATTAAACTTAAGTAAGACTACGCCATGATTAAAACGCTTAAATTGAGTTGCATCGATCACAGCTTACATATTTGATTTGACAGCAGTTGCGAGTCAATCGATTTATTATTATCTCAAGCGAAACGGAAACAACGTTACTCGATTACGCCTAAAAATATTAAGATGCTGCTCCAAAATTAAAAATTCCAAAAAAAGCACCAATAATATTTTTGTAATGATGAAATTTGGGCTGAAAGGTTCAAAAAACAATTTGTTTAAATGGTATAAATAATTAGTAGTACTGTTTTATGTAGTATTTAAATATCTACTAGCATCAAAATAAAATGGGTGACCCGCGTCTTTCTGATAAATAGCTTAGGCATGGTAATAATTTCTGATTTTTGTTACTGTTTGTTTTCCATTAGTGTTTTTTTTAAATTCTATATCTGTGAATGTGTCTTTCACACTGAGAATAAATCGATTTTCCCATTACACATACGAAAGCTCACAAAGCATCTCATAAATAATCTCATGACTAAAAGCTAATTGCATAATATTTTATTAGTTGTCAATGATGCGACAGTATCAATAGCTGCGCAACAAAATGTCGGTAGGGCACAAGGCATTCGCACGTCACGCGAGTGATTGATGACCCGCCCTTCCCCTGTTCGGTCGGTCTCTTTGTGGGCTGTTCGCAAAACCAAATGTGCTTGTAAATGCTACTGCTGTCACCAAATAAATACGAGGCTTTCAATGGAAATCTCGCTTGGAAATGATATTTCGGGTACCCAACCATAATGTCCTAACTTAAATTGTGTTCTCACTTGGAAAAAATTAAAGAAAACGTTTCCGTAATTTAAAATTAATGTCGATTGGTTTTTCAATGGAGCGTTTAATCTGGATAACAACAATTCACTGACATTACTTCGGGAAATGCTGTAATTGCTATGAAAATCAGTTTCCTTGTAGTCAATAAATGGGGCGGAAGTGAATGTCTGGATAGACGGATGGGAGTTGCTCGGAGCACTTCACTCTGCTACGAATGCGGTAAATTTTGTTAGAAATGCGACGTTATTGTTGTGTTTGTTTTACATTAAATTACTAACGTCAGAGCACGACTGTTAGGTAAACAATCCTCGTAACTCGACTTTCGCGTGGGTCTGGCTTACTGAAGTCGCATTTGACTAAAACGGCAATGTTAGGTTAACGCTGCAGGTATAGAGTTGTAGTTATAGCTTTTGCATTTAATCATTATTTAATTTACTCATTCGAACTTTGTTTGTTCCAGGTGTTAACGCTCAGTCCTTTCAAAATTAGTTGCAAGAAAGAAAAATGAACCGGGTAAGCAAACTATTATGTAAATAGATTAATAAAATCAAAATTGAACTAGTTTATGAAAAGTATTTAAAAGAAATGAATTAACTGGTGTTCGTCCAATGGACGAAATTCAATAAAGGCCGCTGAATTCTCAAGATTAAGATTCATTTTATGGATTACATTTTCTCTTTTGTTTTGTAATTATTATTATTTGTAACGACCGGAACTATAACCGTTGCCATATTATTAATTGAATATGCAATTTCGAAAAGGGCACATGTCGCATATTTTGTCAAATACGTTTTTTCATATACATGTAGTTTTCAGGCTTATCTACACCCATTTTATAATAATTCCAGTAATTTTCAATTGCTAATTAAAACTAAAATATATCTCTAAAGTTAATATTTTAAATTTTACACTGCTTTAGAAAATAATCAGTTTTTTCATTTCCTGAACATTTTACATTTTCAGAGATGTGCCCTTTTCGAAATTGCATAATCAATTAAACACTAATGTTCGTCAATAGCTATCAAACAAGAAAAAGTTAGGAAACAAAAGGGGTAAAGGTGCTGAAATGTTTTGTCTTTGCCTAATTGTATTTAGATTTGTTCTTAATTTCTGTGTGTAGTTTCAATATCTGAATGTAACATTGTGAACATAGTATAAGGTAAAGAATGAAACAGTGGCCGCGTGCTCGCGAGAAGACACTCTCGAGATGAGCAGAGGTTGCGTGGAGCAGTGCGCTAGTGCACTGCAGGCAGCGTGATGCGGGCGAGCGCGCGCAGAGGCGGCGGCGCGTGTCCCGCTACCGCGCCCGCCCCTTGCGCGTGATGCACGCGGGCAGTGCCGCGCTCCACGCGTGGCTCGTCTGCTGCGCGGCCGCGCTCTCCTCGCACAAGTACAGCACGAGGGTCGTACGAACTAAGTACGGGACGCTTCGTGGCATTGTCGTCCATTCGCATCCTCAAGTCGAGGCATACCTTGGCGTGCCTTACGCCACTCCACCACTAGGTAGCTTAAGGTAAGATTCGACCAAAAAGATGTTTTTTTTTTTTTATTGCTTATATGGGTAGACGAGCTCACAGCCCACCTGATGTTAAGTGGTTACTGGAGCCCATAGACATCCACAACGTAAATGCGCCACTCACCTTGAGATACAAGTTCTAAGGTCTCAAGTATAGTAACGACGGCTGCCCCACCCTTCAAACCGAAACGCATTACTGCTTCACGGCAGAAATAGGCAGGGTGGTGGTACCCACCCGCGCGGACTCACAAGAGGTCCTACCACCAGTACAAAATTTCTTTTTAATTAATGTGAAATAGTTCACATTGTGCTTCTTTGTCGAATATTTTTAGGATATTAAAACATACATAGTAATCGGCACGAGTCTTGAGCCAATATGCTACTATACTACCTAACACTGTGTATATTTTCATTTTGAGAAAAAAGTTGAAAATATTACATTATTAGAATATTGTAACAATACTAAGTTGATAAATACTTACCAAAAACAATATAAATTAAATGAGGTTGATAAAAAAAATGAGCGGCTAATAAAATTGGAAAAAAGTGTAGTTTGCTGCAGTGATGCGCGTGCACAACACAGGGGACCAATCACAGCTGACGGTATGTGACGCGACACTGGAAGTTCCAATCACGTAATCAACATGGTCGGCGCCACCTCTCCCCCCTTGTTTCGTACCCCCAAACAGACCCAAAAATGGAGTTCTGCCCATGTCAAAGTTAGAGCTCAAGACTCGTGCCGATTATTATAATAGGTTTGATTCAGATCTAAATTCATTTACAGATACTTTACATTTCTTATGGATTTAGCTAAATTTTTTAAAGAAAATTATATGTACTAAATAGCATAGTATGGAGAATAACAATTTCTTGAATAAATTAGATACATGCCGCCGGTGACTCCATCCCAGTGGCGGACGACGCGGCTAGCTGACGCGCCCGGGCCGGCGTGTCCGCAGGCGCCGCCGGCTGCCGTGCCCCGGGACGACGCCTTGCTAGTGCACCCCCGCGCTCGCATCCGACAACTAGAGAGGCTCCTACCTGTGCTCGCCAATCAAAGCGAGGACTGCCTTTACGTTAACTTATACGTTCCTGTAAATGGTAAGGAAATTCATCAGTATTCATATTAATGAAATGGCTTTGTTTTGAATGATCAATTTAAACATACGAGTATATATCCAAATCTTAGGACTATTCTCGAGGAGGATTGACGTCAGGCGATCATAAATCTAAAAATAAGAGTCTGAAAATATCTTGTGTGTTGACCCTAGTAATAATAGGTATAATATATTATTATGTATAATGGACGAGGACAAACGATATTATTGAATGAATTGATCTTTTTTTTTTATTGCTTGGATGGGTGGACAAGCTCACAGCCCACCTGGTGTTAAGTGGTTACTGGAGCCCATAGACATTTACGACGTAAATGCGCCTTGAGATAAGTTCTAAGGTCTCAAGTATAGTTACAACGGCTGCCCCACCCTTCAAACCGAAACGCATTACTGCATCACGGCAGAAATAGGCGGGGTGGTGGTACCTACCCGCGCGGACTCACAAAAGGTCCTACCACCAGTAAATTATCCATTAATAAATCGATTTTTTGTGAACCCTTCTAAATTTGTCTCACTTAATGTGATGTTGTTTTTATGAGATAATGTGAGAGGAAATAATAATTTATAACAATGTTGAAAAAAATAATGAGAATAGTAATAAATTTCATAGTACTGAATATTATTTTGCAGCATATTTAGATTTAGATTTTAAACGTATAGTCTCTAACTGCCCGACGACAAGATGTTATACTAAGTTTTTAAAGAAACCCCGAGGAAATTGTACTTATAAGATATTACTTACTTATTATTACGGATTTATGAGATATTTAGATATATTAACAGATATTTTTTGTGAACGTTGTGAACAAGAAAAGAAATTACAGCAGTGAGTTTAAAATTTTATACAATTATATTCGATGCGTTAATATTATAGGTTTATATTCAGATATCTTTTTTTCTTAGATTATAATCAAGAGAATTAACTCAGTGGAAAATAATTAAAAGTAATGTATACATATTCTCTAACAATGCCCACAACTTAGAACTTAGATGCATAAGTTTTGTACTGATAATTAAATATTTTTAGAATTGTAATTGTCATTTGTCAAGATTTCGAAATAATTAAAATAATCAATCCAAAGAAGTGATTTTAAGAATCTGTGATTCTTTGCTTATATCCAGAACCGACAATGTTTAAGCAGTAATGTGTATACATTGTAATAGTCAATCTTCATCAGTAAATCTTTATATACATAAAGGTACACGCACGCAAAACTTTCTGAAGCTCATGAAGGAATCCTAAAAAACTTAGTAACTCAAACAGACGTTATCCCAACTTTTGTTTCTCTTCAGAAACTTCTATTTCGCAATCGTGCTCTACTCGAGGTGTAATTTTTCTTAAAGTCATTTCAAGATAATCGGACCGTGTAAGAAAACATTCCTTCAGAGCGGGAAAAGTAACAGAAAATCCGCAGTATTGAAAGTATAGATATTTCCGCAATATACTGTCATTCGCAGTTGAAAAACTTTTTGTATGGCTGCTTCGGATAGTGACTGCGGTACGGTCATACATTTTCCGTTAAGCATTTATAGTAAAACTACAGTATGGAGTGGTGTGCCGGTCGTTCAACGCAGCGGTGGAGGTGAAAGAGTTAAAATTTTCGCACGAAATAGAATTTTACGTTGTGTAGATACTCCAAATTACCAGTTCAAAATGTTTGTAATTCAATTATAATACACAAGCGGCCCGCTCCGGCTTCGCTCGGGTCTTTAAAAAAAATTTCAACGATATTCAATGTTGTTTATTTTTTAAAATAAAATATAAAACACTTATTGTGGCATAACTATAAAAGTTAGACATATGCTGCCGCGACACTTTTTGTAAATAATAATGCGGTCTACAAAGTCGTAGTACATTATTTTATTCTATCATCTATAGTTTTCGCAGAGCACGCGATGTAAAGAATATTTTAGGTAATTTTTTTACACCTTGGGTAAAGGAAATTATTGGAGTTTTAGTAAGGATCCCTATTTTTTTTCAAAAAAGATTATAGCATATATCACTCGGGAATAGTGTAGCTTCCAAACAGTGGAAGCATTTTTCAAATCGGTTCAGTAGTTTCGGAGCCTATTCAATACAAACAAACAAACAGATCTTTCCGCTTTATAATATTAGTAAAGAAGTATAGATAACGATCGCTCTATATTTCTCCGAACTTGTTGATTGAAATGAAATAAAACATAGCTGTGAAATAAATGCAAATTCATCGTTTAACGTATTTAATTTCGAAAATTCGGCTGTGTGATAGCACCACACCATTTCTTTTCGTGGGTAGCGTAAAAGGTGATTGAGGGATTAATTAGATCATGGGAAGTAGCGTTCTCTGAGTATTATACCAACGTACGGCAATCACGAATACATTTATGGCCGATTATACAATATAGTAGACTTTGACGTTATGTTTTAATGTGGGTTCCAGTAACACCAGGGGCGCTGTTGACTCGTTCACCCATTTACGTAATTAAAAAAAGGAAAAAAACGAATCGAAATTACTAACAGATAGGAAACTAAATCAGTAAATATTCGTTTAAAAAAGTTGTGATTAGATTAAGTCGTCCGTTGTTTCTATAAACTTAGGTAGATATTTCAGATTTTATACACTTTATGCTACTATAGAACCATACATTTGATATAGATGCTTCTGGAAAGTAGTTCATTATATATGAAAGTGGGTAGTTGGTTAAAACTGTTTCGTACGACGCTGGCAGACAATGTGTACCACAGGAGTAGTAAGGACGATACCAAGTTTATTTAATAGGATAGCTCGCTTATAAATTGTTAGCATATGGTTCGGAATAATTAAGATTAAAATATATCATACAATATAAGGAAATAACGTAAATCAAGATTTTGAATAGAATTTTATTACTTTACTGCGAAAAGAGAATATGTTTGAATATCTAGTTTATATTAAAGCCACAGAACTATGAAAATGCCACGAATAATGTTTTCTGATGAACTTTTCAACTGGACTATTTTATATTCGTGTTGATTTAAAAATATATATTATTATTATTATATTTACAATTGATCTTAATATGTATAATGTTTAATCGAACAACGAGAAAAAAATTACGTAAAAATCTTATGAAACCAAAAAAAAGAATAAAAGCATTTTTTCAATTAGTAGATCCGATCGCAGCTTCGTAATTTCTAATTAAACTTTAACTTAATTAAAGCGACATGAAAAGTTGAAATCACGGATATCCTTATGTTTCAAATATCGAGATGTTATTAGTGGTGTCGGGAGCAATCATATTACACCTAATCTATTATAAGATACGTTATATGTGTATATGTATTTACATACGTAAATTAATTAAAGGATTGATTAGTTATTTTTACTTTTTCATTAAACAGAGGCATCAATGGGTTTAGTGGTACTTTATAATTTTGAGAAATGGAGATGTATTCAGTGTCATGAATCATGTTTTTCTATTATAATTGTTTCCATTGAATTGTCTGCTTAAAACTCTATTTACTACAATTATAAGAAAACAAAACACGTTACAAGCTGCATTTCGTTGTGGGTTCATAGTACATTTTTGTTGAAACAATTTATTTCACCCATGAATTTTGTATTCAATTACGACCGAAATTAATGTGGTATTTCTGTGGAAGAATTTGGTTAAACTCACAGTACAGGTTTAACATAAATCCAAGTACCTACTCGTAAAATTACGTGAATGTAAAAGAAGAAACGGAATGAAAACACCTTGAGTATTCGAGTCAAGACTTGTAAATGGGAAACGAGAACGCATACTCCGGCGAGGGTGTTGAGGCTTCAATTCCGTAGTGCATTGCAGTGCATGCTGCCACCTGCAAGCAGTGCGGGAGTGAGGCTGAGGCATGCCTTAACTACAATACAACTTCTACACAATCACCTTATCACCTGGACTCAAGAAATAGATTAGTACTTAAGAATTATCAGCGAGTTTTCATGAAGCTAAACTGTCGATAATATGTTCAAAAATAGTACATTGCCTCAGAGGGCTATTAGAAGAGTTTTTGGAATGTAAGGGATTAATGTATATTAGTGATAATATCATGCGATAATAGGCCATACGATTATGGGTTCAACAGTTCATACTATGATAAAAGCTCGCATCAATGGTGAAGATTTGGAGAGGCGAAGACTTTACAGGATTTATTTTTGTACTAGTATGTACATATGTATATATATATCTAATTAATAGATACGAATATTATTATATCGCCTGAAATTCTCGGATACTTGTTTCCGAGAAAATGTACAACTCAACTTTTGGTGTTTTATATAAATAATATACAAAGTGTTTATCTCGTAATCTGATAATTTTTGAATTTAGTACATGATATAATACCGATTAATACGAAAAGATGAATTTAAAATAAATACGACCCACATCATGTCGTCAGTTTACCTTTTTCAAATTACGGCAATAATCGGAAAACGTAAAAGCTTTTTTCATTGTCTTTCATCAGAAAAATAATCCGGGTCTTCATTTTTTTTTGTTGGTCGTAATACTTTCTATCGAATGTTTGAAACGTTATGTTTATTGTGTTTTTATTACGCAGGGGGCGAGGGTGACGGAGGCGGTGGCGGGCTTCCTTGTCTCGTGTTTGTTCACGGAGAGTCTTATGAGTGGAGCACGGGTAACGCGTACGACGGCACAACTCTAGCCGCGCAAGGCAACATCGTTGTAGTCACTATCAACTTTAGGTTAGGTGTACTGGGTAAGTACAATCAATTTACGTTTGGCTCCACGCTTAAATCGATGCCTCAAATAAAGCTCAGCTTACAGCATCTTGTTGGAAGATAATTTAGTACAGAAGTTACCGGCTAACTTCAGCGGAGCTTTAATATGGCTTCATTAGCTTGACTCGTATTTATCTATCTAATGTAACGGAGTATTTCAATGTATTTTTATGAATTCTAAGACGTATGATGAACTTGAAAATTTGTGAGCTTGTCGAGGACAGATGACAATACAAGAACTGTATGATTACTTGGGCCTAATTTTCTAACCAAGATCAGGTTCCTTAGCGATGGTAGGACGTCTTGTGAGTCCTCACGGATAGATACCACCACCCTGTTTATTTCTGCCGTAAAGCGGTAATGCGTTTTGGTTTAAAGCTTGAGGCAGCCTTTGTAATGTAAATACTGAGATTTTAGAACTCATATATCGAGGTGGGTGGCATTTACGTTGTTGATGTCTACGGGCTCTGGATACCAGGTGGACCCTGAACGCATCCACCCATCCAAGCAATAAAAAATATAAAAAACTAGGTTCACCAAAGTAAAATAATTATTAATTTTTAGTTCGGCGTGGAATTAAAGTATGTTTCTTTAAATGCCAAACTACAAAAAGAGGCCTAAAATCTAAAATTGAAATATCAAAAGTATAATTTATTAAATATTTAATAGACATGATGCTGTGGCACATTCCAGTGAAAATAAATAGGGAACAAAATTTTATTCTTCGATTTATGTGGCAATAAAGGGACAAGGGAATCGTAAAATATATTATATCCGGTGGTTATACGTCGAATCTTATGATGCATTATTTTATTCGTAGCAATCTGTTCTCTTGAGGACAATTCAATACATGGAGAAAGTTTCTTTTTTACTTACCATAAATAAATAAAAAACAAATAGTAAATTTTAGATTTGCTAATAATAAAACAAATGCCTTAAAGTTTTTCATTCTGCTAATCAGGTAGTCTACATAAATGTATGTTTGGCTTGTCTTGTAGGTTTTTTAAAGACTGGTGCTAAAGGTTCGGCGCAGGGTAACTTTGGGCTGATGGACCTTGTGGCGGGACTGCACTGGCTCCGGGAAAATCTGCCCGCCTTCGGAGGTGATCCCGAAAGGGTTACGCTTATGGGTCACGGAACTGGAGCCGCCCTGGCCAACTTTCTCGCAGTTTCACCTGTTGCTCGGGGTAGGTGCTTTTTTATTAGATCACATCTTCGAACTTGCTCACTTTTTAACAAAAACTAAATTTAATTTATTTGCTTGTAAGAATAATAATAAGAATAAAAATAAATAAATCACTAAGAATCATTTGGATCACTCATAGATAATAAATTTTTCATTGGTTTACGAATGAATGCGATTTATTGTTCACATCACTGGCATTCATTTTACCTAAGCAAAAGTATGTATCTATACTAATATATAAATCTACAATGGTTTTTACGGATGTTCCAACTACTGAACCATGCATCCGATTGACCAGAAACTTGGCATCCATGTAGGAAATACATGTACTTAATGGATAGGCTGATATTTTTATGAGTGTTGGACTTCCTACGCCAGTTGCGGAGGTGTTAATGATGAGAATCTTTGTGGGGGTGAGAAATAATAACGTTAATTTTAAATGCCCAGCGAAGCGGACGGGTACAGCTAGTTTATGCCTAAAGTCAAATCGATAATAGTCTATTCTTTCAATCTCTAAGTCATGTTCCATATAAATATTAAGACTAGTTTTAGTCTTAGACTAGTTTGTTTAAAGAAGCTTCTGTGGTTTAATGGAGAAGATACCCAGTATGTTCACAGACAATCTGTACTTCGATTTATGGATCGATATAACTTTTCTGAATATTTAATGTATTTCGTAACGTAACGCCTCAAACGATAAAAATAATAACAGCGGAATATTGCAACATAGGCAAACATAATAAAACACAAAAAAACAGCTACAGCTACTGGTGCTAAAGCTTGGTGTGAGTTCTAACAGCTAGGTATAGCTTGCCTACGTATTTTAGGGGCGTAGCAGATTTGCATTCTGGTTTAAGATGTGAGGCAACCATAATTATAATGCTATTGTGAGTTCTATAGGTATAGATGTGGGCTAGTGGTATTCTTTTCCAGAAATGTAAGAGTTCTGATATTCGCTGAATATTAGTTTAGCCGTAAATTCATCTACCATTTCAAATAAAAAGCTCTAGTATAAAATTAATCCGAGAGTTAAACCTCAAAGCGGTTTTTGTTCAGTTTTAGATTAAATTTTTATTTTATCGTATAAATCACCTTTCCTTTGAAGCCGCGATACTGAAAAATAGCGTGTAGTGTATGAACAGACTATCTAACATGCGATGCACACGCTACACGTTTGTGGGATCAACTGGATTTTGTAAGAACATGATTTCGATTTTATTGATATTTATATACGACTAGCTGACCCGGCAGACTTCGTAGTGCCTCAATCGATAAATAAAGGACGTAGACTTTTGTATAAAATAAACTTAAAACCAACAAAAGGAATCCGTCCGACGGGGGACACATCAAAGGAAAAACAAAATTGTTATTTTTATTTAATTCCGAGCATTTTCATATTTATCTACCTTTTAAACCTTCCCTGGACTTCTGGGCCTGGACAAATAATTCAAGACCAAAATTAGCCAAATCGGTCCAGCCATTCCTGAGTTTTAGCGAGACTAACGAACAGCAATTCATTTTTATATATATAGATATGTTGTATCTAGTTTATTAAATCTCATAGGTACGCTGTGTAGTTTAGAATTCACAACTGTTTTAATTAATCTTGATCGTAAACTCGAACGGATATCGTATTCGAGCCCAACACGATCCTCTCAGGTATATAAAGTGGGGACCGGGTATTGTGCGTAATTACAAGGACCCACGGCAGATTTCATTATTCCGTGTCACCATCCCGTTTAGATCCTTCATCACTTAATACGATTAAGTGGGTCACATCAGACATGCACAAGAGGAAAGCTTTCTCGGAGAATAAAAAAAAAAATCATGAAAACGGTCAGGATCGTTTCATATTTTAAATTTCCCAGTTTAGAAGCTTGGGATTAAATGAAAATGGTTTTTCTTTGAAAAGAATTCGTTTCGTAGATGCTCGTTCAAAATGACAAAATTAAATTAGGTTATCTGTTTCAGAACTATTGAAGCGAGTTATCTTGTTAAGCGGGTCGGGGCTCAGCTCGTGGGCGTTGCAGAGAGAGCCGCTGACGATAAAAAGAAAGGTATACATGTGTAAAAAATATTAAGTTGTATTTTTCATTATCCTATCGAATAATAACTTTTCTTTTTTATTGCTTAGATGGGTGGACGAGCTCACAGCCCACCTGGTGTTAAGTGGTTACTGGACCCCATAGACATTAACAACGTAAATGCGCCACTCACTTTGAGATATAAGTTCTAAGGTCTCAGTATAGTTACAACGACTGCCCCATCCTTCAAACCGAAACGCATTATTGCTTCACGGCAGAAATAGGCAGGGTGGTGATACCTACCCGCGCGGACTCTCAAGAAGTCCTACCACCGGTAAAAATATAAACCAGAGCTATAAACCAGAATAATAACGTATTTGTTAATAATGTTACATATAACATATTAGGTGGCGGAACAGACCGGGTGTCACGGAGACTTATTGGAGGATGACTTGGCACCGTGCTTGCGAAACAAGCCGCTCTCTGAGCTTCTAGCTGTTAAGCTCGACCCCCCAAGGTTTCTGCCTGGATTCGCGCCCTTCGTCGATGGCACTGTTATTGTCAATCCAACATCGGTGAGTACTAATTCTATACGAATAATATAAATACTTTAATAATAAATAATATCACTACATAGTATAAAACAAAGTCGCTTTCTTTGTCCCTATATCCCTATGTATGCTTAAATCTTTAAAAGTACGCAACGGATTTTAACTAAAATTTTAATAGATAGAGCGATTGAAGAGGAAGGTTTATATATATAATAACATGCATTAAATAGTGGAGAAATCTATAATAAATTAAAGTTTCCGAAGCGAAGCGAGAAATTTAATAATACTAAAATAATCTCTATATATAAAAATGAATTGCTGTTCGTTACTCTCGCTAAAACTCGAGAACGGCTGGACCGATTTGGCTAATTTTGGTCTTGAATTATTTGTGGAAGTCCAGAGAAGGTTTAAAAGGTAGATAAATATGAAAATGATCGGAATTAAATAAAAATAACAATTTTGTTTTCCCTTTGATGTGTCCCCCGTCAAACGGATTCCTTTTGTTTGTTTTAAGTTTATTTTATACAATAGTTTAAGTCTTTTATTTATCGATTGAGACACTACGAAGTCTGTCGGGTCAGCTAGTAAGCAATAAAAACAATATAATACTTTGAGGCTTCACTTAACTAAACTTCAAACAATATTTTACAGTAATTGTACATGTGTATGTACCTAACTGTTATTTGAGCGGCACGATTGTATATGTAACAACTGCGAACGTTTAGCTTGTAATGTCGGTTTTCCCTGCGTGTGATTACATGCACTAAATGAAGCGCTATAATGACAAGTTGGTGGTTTATTTTTGGGAATTGTTCATGGAAAATAAAGAAATTCAGTATCGTCGGATTGAAATATACATAATGCGTTTCAGGGCTTTCGAATTAGAATGAATAATTATTATGTGTCAGAAACAAGCAGTTTAGGCTGGTAGGTAAGGTTTTTGGTTGAAAAGTAAGATAGTGAGACTACCACTACATTAAAACAATTTTATTGACAGCAGTCACTCGAAGTTATTTACTGGTGGTAGGACTTCTTGTGAGTCCGTATGAGTAGGTACCACCGCCCTGCCTATTTCTGCCGTGAAGCAGTAATGCGTTTCGGTTCGAAGGGTGGGGCAGCCGATGTAACTATACTGAGACCTTAGAACTCATATCTCAAGATGAGTGGCGGCATTTACGTTGTAGATGTCTATGGGTTCCAGTCACTACTTAACACCAGGTGGGCTGTGAGTTCGGCTACCCATCTAAGCAATAAAAAAAATCCGGATGTCCTGTAACTTTTTTCTGTGCTAAAAATTTAATGCCCACCTTTAAACAAACTTTTTATCTTTTATCTTTTTGGAAATAACTCATCAGTAATCTAATTTAACTGAACTAGTAACTCATTACCCGTGTAAAGTAGTTTTGACTGAAAAGTAGTAGAATAATTGGATTACATAATTTCTGAGAGGTCTATAATATAAATCTATATATATATATTATGTTCGGTGATATATTACCGAACACCTTTGTCAGCATAATTCGCGTGACGCGTTAACTTCATTTCCACTAAGCGTCAGTGCACGATCAACAACCGCGTCACTCGGGTGCATTCACAACATTAACATTTAATTTATTTTCTCTATATTTTAACAATAAACATTTTTAAGTAACATTATTTTTAACTAACAAACTCACACCGCACTCTAAATATAAAAATGAATTGCTGTTCGTTAGTCTCGCTAAAACTCGAGAACGGCTGGACCGATTTGGCTAATTTTGGTCTTGAATTATTTGTCTATATATTATATTATATTATAGAATTATAATCTATATATATATATAAATGAATTGCTGTTCGGTAGTCTCGCTAAAACTCGAGAACGGCTGGACCGATTTGGCTAATTTTGGTCTTGAATTATTTGCGGAAGTCCAGAGAAGGTTTAAAAGGTAGATAAATATGAAAATGATCGGAATTAAATAAAAATAACAATTTTGTTTTCCCTTTGATGTGTCCCCACCTCAGACGGATTCCTTTTATTTGTTTTAAGTTTATTTTATACAAAAGTTTAGGTATTTTATTTATCGATTGAGGCACTACGAAGTCTGCTGGGTCAGCTAGTGTTAAATAGAAATGTGTTGTTGGTGTAGGCACCGCCTCCTTCTGACAGCACAAGACTAGGGGCAGGCGCCGCTGCAGTCGCCAACGCTGCGGGTTACGAGCTCGCTGACTTCTCACACAGAGAATTACTATTTGGACTCACGACCACTGGTAAGTAGACCTTTCTAACATGAATGAGTAGAAGCCAAGCAGCCTAGACATTGTTACAAGAGAAATACAAACGCCCTAAGAGCTCAGGTCTTTCCTATTGGTCTTCCAAACGTTTTAGTTATCTAGTAAAACAAGATATTGGTAGAAGAAAGAAAGATAAGATTAGTGAAGAATAACTCAAGAATTTTTTTGTTATCTTGAGACACCTAGCTACCGGAGAAACCAATCTTTTCAATAAGATATTTTAGGTAATCCGTTTATAATGTAACATCCGCCTTATCTCAAATACGTCTGTTTTCCGAAATGTACACAGAAGATGTGACCTTGAAAGTTTTTTTTGTTATTTTCCGCGTTAGTACCGAGACATTTGATAAATGTAGGAAGGAATATTTACAGCCAATTTCGTCTTTTCCTTGAAATATGATCGAAACAGACAAAAAAAAGAGTGAAACCTAAAAATATGTAGTTACGCCTTTTTTATTGAAAAGTGAACAATTGAAATGTTTTAGAAAAACTATATATTGGGTGTTTATAAATAAAGCTTATTTCTAAAACTGATGAAATTATGTAATTGGTGGAATTCAGATGTTTATGTATCGCAAGTTATATCGCGAGCTGTCTTTCTGAATAATTCTGATGGTCATTAAATAATGCGATATAGTCATTAAAACTGTGAGACACTTTCGCTCTTGAAATGCCATTAAAACTTTATGAACGCATTTTTAATAATTGAAATTTTCGCTTCCGAACAGCTCAGTTTCTCTGGTAATAATTCCCGTTTTCACGGTTCAATTTTTATTATCTTTTTCTGTTACTTTACGTTCTTGTCGATAAGTAAGAGTCCTTTGAGTGAGGTGTTCAAAGAATATCGACGAATAATAAAGAGCGCCTTGATATTTATTAAAACTCAACGAATTCGTGTCGATTTGAAATGGTTCGGTTGCGGTTGCGAATACGTTTGAAAAAAATATATAATACTAGCGGCCCGCCCCGGCTTCGCTTGGGAAGTAGCGCACGCGATGTAAAGAATTTTAGGTATTTTTTTTACACATTGGGTTACATTACGGGAGTTTCAGTAAGGATTACTGGTGGTAGGACCTCTTGTGATCTTACTGGTGGTAGGACCTCTTGTGAGTCCGCGCGGGTAGGTACCACCACCCTGCCTATTTCTGTCGTGAAGCAGTAATGCGTTTCGGTTTGAAGGGTGGGGCAGCCGTTGTAACTATACTGAGACCCTTAGAACTTATATCTCAAGGTGGGTGGCGCATTTACGTTGTAGATGTCTATGGGATCCAGTAACCACTTAACACCGGGTAGGCTGTGAGCTCGACCACCCATCTTAGCAATAAAAAAAAAAAAAAAAAGGATTTATAATTTTTTTTAAAATATAATAAATATCGCCTATGCCACCCGAGGATAGCGTAGCTTTCCAACAGTGAAAGATTTTTTAAATCGGTTCAGTAGTTTCGGAGCCTATTCAATACAAACAAACAAACAAATCTTTCCTCTTTGTAAAATTAAGTATAGATTGAATTTTATTTTATTGAAATACTAATAAATGTTGTTGTTCTAGAGTCGTATTTGGAATTTAGCGCGCAAGACTTAGAGTTTGGTTTCAATGAAAGCAGACGAGATCGAATACTTCGCACGTTCGTAAGGAACGCCTATTACTACCACCTAAACGAAATATACTCGACGTTGAAAAATGAATACACCGATTGGGACAAGCCTGTGCAGAATCCACTTAGCGTTCGGGATGCAACTCTAGAGGTTTGTAATAAAATGTTAATTTATTTCTTTTTCTAGGTTAGTTAGTAGTAACCCCCTCGACCGGGTATCAGTAAATGGATTACCCAGCGTTAAAAAAAAAAAAAAATAAGTAGTGATCTTTTTTGAGGTGAGACGTCCAGTGTACTTAAATATATATAATCATATCGCTATTGCAACTATGTACATCGTCCTTTCCATTCTGAGGTATGTACCCATTTTTTTTGTAAGATTTCTACGAGCGAGTTATTAAATCATGTTTTAAATCAAGGCAATCACTATACCAGAAAATGCATGATTCATTCATTCAGAAGCACGTTGTGTTTATTGTTAACTTATTTTAACATTCATATACATAATTATAAAGCTTCTATTTATTTCATTTGTTAAGTAAAGTTCATAACAAAATACTTGTGTACAAGCTCTTTTCAAACTGCTTTATTTTATTATTATTCACCTTTAGCCTTTGTGTCGTTCTCCCGTGTAATTTTCTTTTGTTACTTTTGTTTTTATAAAAGGGTTTGTAAATTGAGAAAGACATTATATTTGATTTTATTACGAGCACTTTGTTTTTTGTCTGACGTAAAAGTTGAATCCGTTAAGAAACTGAATAAATAATAAATCAATCACGAAAATTATATTACTTTTCACTGTTTTTGAAGATTTTCTTCCGTACCAAACTACGTCAGCGATAAACAATATTTTACGATATTCTTTGTAATACTATGGAAATGCAAATTGTAAATTTTACGAGTTCTACAATAAAAACCAAGAGATGAGCAATTCTGAGGCAAAGTATTTGAAACGAGCAGGGAATTTTCGTCGAAAGTAGTCTAAAAGTGCAACGGTGTAATGCTTTCCATTGGGACCTCATCGAATTTAAATAATATCATCATTTCAACTCATTCAATTTGATTCCAATTGATTACAATTTCAGATAAATCAATTATTTGTCTCCATTTAATTTATATATATTACAATGTTTATATAATTATACAGATATTACATAATAATAATTGAATATTATATAACTCGACGCTGGCGACTGTCGTATGAAGTCGTCGTGGCCTAAAGGATAAGACGTCCGGTGCATTCGTATGAAGCGATGCACCGGTGTTCGAATCCCGCAGGCGGGTACCAATTTTTCTAATGAAATACGTACTCAACAAATGTTTACGATTGACTTTCACGGTGAAGGAATAACATCGTGTAATAAAAATCAAACCCGCAAAATTATAATTTGCGTAATCACTGGTCCGCACGGGTAGGTACCACCGCCCTGCTTATTTCCGCCGTGAAGCAGTAATGCGTTTCGGTTCGAAGGGTGGGGTAGCCGTTGTAACTATACTGAGACCTTAGAACTTATATCTCGAGGTGGGTGGCGCATTTACGTTGTAGATGTCTATGGGCTCCAGTAACCACTTAACATCAGGTGTTAACATCACCTTTAGATATACGTTCTAAGGTCTCAAGTATAGTTACAACGGCTGCCCCACCCTGCAAACCGAAACGCATTACTGCTTCAAGGCAGAAATAGGCAGGGTGGTGATATCTACCCGCGCGGACTCACAAGAGGTCCTACCACCAGTAATGTTAAATCTTTTAAAAACATGAGATTAAACGCCACTCTTTAAACTAAAAGAAAACACATAGTTATCTTTGTTATGTTGTAGACTATTTTGATTGTATTATACCAATCCTACTGTTGATAGATTTTACACTAGAAGAGAGCTACTGAACGAACATGAGTGAAATGTAATTAAGGTCGCCTTTGTACATTTTAAATTTATTTTTATTACAAAAAGTTTCCATACAAAATAAAAGATTAAATATAATATAAAAGATATACAGAGAGATATAAAAAAAATTATAAAAGATTAAAAATATTTTAATTTTGAAATAATAAAAGCATGTCTTTGAATGTATAAAAACATATTGATTGATTTTTTTATGCCTAATAAAAAAAGAAGTAACTATGTATAATAAAACAGTCAAAATGAAATCGAGTATTTTGATTTGTTTTCGTATGTCGCAAGCACAATTAAATCTACTTAAAAGTTTAGTTGTTGTAGGATCGTCTGTCTGAGTGAACTTATTAAACAAATTGCACAATTTATTTATTATAAATAAATCTTGATCAAGTGTTTTTTTTTTCGTTTTACTGCCCTTGTACGCAGACGAGCATACGGCCCAACCTGATGGTGAGTGGTTACCGTCGCCCATGGACTTCAGCAATGCCAGGGGCAGAGCCAAGCCGCTGCCTACCGACGAATTGGAAGACGATTTCTCGTTCAAGCATTTGAACACAATCACTTAGTTCAATCTAAATTCCGATCGCTTGTTAGTGAAGTTCTCAAATATAAAACAGGTCATCTTTAAGTATTTATATCTGTCTAGAATATATTTTAGGCGTTTGGAATGTAATGCCGATTTGACCTACATTCCTGTTTGTAAGTCGTACCAGAATAATCTATGATCTATCTACAATCGTCAGGTATGAGTTTTAGAGTGAAATAAGGTTCCAGAATAAACAATAAATCATAATTGTGATGAAAATGACGTTGAATCTACCACCATAACGGAATAGCGACTCCCTCAGAAAATCCAATGAGAAGCTCGGTGGGCACAAGTCAATGGGCTAAGTCGTTGTACGTCGGATTCTTACAAGTACTGATGCGTGGAGGGTCCAAAAGCACCGAGAGTGTATGGAGAGGATGCGATAGGACATGTTTAGGGTGACGGCGGCTTCGGGTTGCCCCCTCGTCTGGGTCAGGTATTTAATTAGAGGTGGCCACATCAGGAGGGTGCCGCGTTGCTTTTTCGAAGAAGTGTTCTGATGCTTTACTCGCTCTGAGCTGAAATAGCTCGATGATCGAGATCATTCGATTGAAAATCGAAGATCTACATTCCTCACATTCCACGATGTTGCAACGGCTATCCTACAACAACGGGATTTGATAACCTGGAAAGTTTATGTGTGTGCGGGCCGCGTGAGCATTACATTTCATTACATTACATTTGTGTAACTCATGATCGTACATACGTAGGTTTTGTCGAGCGTCACCTTGTTACGAAGGGACAATTTACTTCGCTTGCAGATCGTGGAGTCTTTGAGACATGGTGTCGAAGCGTAGAATTCACAGTGTAGAGTCTATTGCATTGCGTGTCCCTGGACATTTATTTATTTTTATTTATTGCTTAGATGGATGGACGAGCTCACAGCTCACCTGATGTTAAGTGGTTACTGGAGCCCATAGACATCTACAACGTAAATGCGCCACCCATCTTGAGATATAAGTTCTAAGGTCTCAGTATAGTTACAACGGCTACCCCACCCTTCGAACCGAAACGCATTACTGCTTCACGGCGGAAATAGGCGGGGTGGTGGTACCTACCCGTGCGGATTCTCAAGAGGTCCTACCACCAGTGATTACGCAAATTATAATTTTGCGGGTTTGATATTTATTACACGATGCTATTCCTTCGCCGTGGAAGACAATCGTGAACATTTGTTGAGTACGTATTTCATTAGAAAAATTCGTACCCGCCTGTGGAATTCGAACACCGGTGCATCGCTACATACGAATGCACCGGACGTTTTATCCTTTAGGCCACGACGACTTCAAAATCGCTAACTTGTTCAACACCCCGCCTTGGTCGGTAATCGCAGGGGCACTGGAGTATTTCGTCTTCCCGCGTACTCCGACTGATCGGGTCATACCGCTTCCATCTCGAGCACGGTATTCCTCAAGGGTTGGCTTTCGGTCCTCTCCTGTGGAACACCGCCTACGACTGGGTTCTGCGGAGTATCCTTTGCGATCTTTGCTCGGGCCTGGATTGCTATGCGGAAGATACTTTGTCGTGGCCCGGGGGAAAAACTTTAACGAGTCTGCTCATTTTCCGCGCCCAGGGGTAGCCTTTGTAGTTTCTAGGAACCGAAGGCTGGATCTGTGATGATGTGGTAGCCTTTGTAGTCTCTCGGAACTGAAGGCTGGATCTGGTATGATGTGGTAGCCTTTGTAGTCTCTAGGATCCGAAGGCTGGATCTGGGATGATGTGGTAGTCTTTGTAGTCTCTAGGATCCGAAGGCTGGATCTGGGATGATATAGTAGCCTTTGTAGTCTCTAGGATCCGAAGGCTGGATCTGGGATGATGTGGTAGTCTTTGTAGTCTCTAGGATCCGAAGGCTGGATCTGGGATGATATAGTAGCCTTTGTAGTCTCTAGGATCCGAAGGCTGGATCTGGGATGATGTGGTAGCCTTTGTAGTCTCTAGGAACTGAAGGCTGGATCTGGGATGATGTGGTAGCCTTTGTAGTCTCTAGGAACCGAAGGCTGGATCTGGGATGATGTTCGATAAATTCCAGACCTTATTGCTTTACGGGGCCTGGAGAGCACCACTCTATAATTTAGTGTCGTCCTATAATTTATTTCGTAATCGAACCATTTCATTCAATCCTTCACCTTTATATGAGACTTTCCCAGAAAATTGAAGCTATCGAGTTTTTCTACTCGATTAAAGGGCAAATTAAGGTTCGATTCCGAAGAAGGAGTCTGAGAAACGGCTATCATATCCAAGGAAGGTAGCAGATAGGTACACGTCTTAGTGCATGGCAAAATACACTACCGTGTTTTACCGTTAATTCTAAAAATAATAAAATAATTGAACATTTATTTACATTGTTTAAATAATAATAATTTAGTAAGATTTTTTTTATTATCGCATTGTCATCGGTTCTTGTTAAGCGTGCCAAGTTTCAAATCATCCAACATTTTGAAGGGGTGAAAATCACGTTCATAGATTCCGTTCAACAGATGTATATATATATATATATATATATATATATATATANGTAGTTTTTGTTTGATCCATTTTCACTAGTTGATCCGGGCAGTATTATTTGATCCTTTATATGTTCACCATCCGTATGTGGCTCCAAAGGGATCAACTAGTGTCGCCGCATTTAAGAATAATAATTATGCCATTTTTATACAAATCCACCT